ATACAATACTAAATGTGACAGAACGTTAAATAACTTGTTACTTTAATGATCACCATATGAGATTGTATTATGTATGAATTCATGAATATATATAGATAGATTAAGATTGTGTGGATAATCTAATTTAATCTGATCAAATTCTTGTTTTACTCTACGTGGAGGAGCATGGGACAACCACCAGCATTCTCCATCTAACTCTGTCCTGGACAAGCCTTTCCAGGTCTTTCCACTTGCTATTCATTCTTTTCATATCTGCTTACAAGTTTCGACTCAGTGTGTTCTTTGGCCTTCCTCATTTCCGTTTCCATACAGATTCTAAATAAGCGCTTGCCTCGTGTTGTAGTTTGATGATTTCAGCAAAGTATGTCCTATCCACTAACAACTTCTCCTAATTTACTCTTAAGATGGAAACTGGTTTGTCCTCCCCTACAGTAGGTTGTTGCTGATGTTATCCGGCCAACAACGGACATTGAGTATCTTATGTAGACAATTGTTTATGAATACTTGTACCATTTTCATGGTGATTTTAGTGATTATCGAAGTTTCAGCTCCGTACAGTAGGACTGTGTTGACATTGTTATTAAAAATTCTTATTTCGCTGTTGATTGATAGTTGTTTTGAGTTCCATATGTTCTTCAATCTTAGGAATACTAACCTTACTTTGACAGTCCTAGCCTATACGTCTTCATTAGATCTTCCTTTTTCATCGATGATGCTGTTCAGGTACGTAAATGTTCTCAAATCTTCCAGAGTTTCTTCATCAAGTGTGACTGAGTCGGTGTTCTTCGTGTTGCACATGAGGATCTTACTTTTTCTCTTGTGTATGTTGAGGCCTACTGATTCATAGTCTGATGCTGCACTGGTTATTTTGACCTGCATTTCTTCATGTGTATGGAATAGAATTACTAGGTCATCTGTGAAGTTTAAATCGCCTAGTTGCATGTAAGCTTTTCGTCAGATGTTGAGGTATTCTTAATCCAGTTAACCGCCAGAAGGAAAAGAAAGAGGGAGATTAAGCAGCTTTGTTTGACCCCGGTACTCACTTGTAATGCATCTGTCAGCAGTACTCCGCATACACTTTTGCAGTGTGGCCCGTCATATGAATCCCAGATGATGCTGACGATTTTCTCATGTACTACATAGTGTCGAAGAAGTTTACATAATGTTCTCCTATCCACGCTGTTGTACTCCTTCTCACGGTTATGGAAGTTGATGTACAGTGACGAGTTCCTTTCAATTGATTATTCAACGATGATTTGTGGTGTTGCTCTTTGGTCTGTGCACGACTGATCCCTACGGAATCCATTTTATTGATCTCGAAACTAACCGTTTATGGAATCTTTAATCCGGTTGAACAAAACTGTTGAAAAGCTTTACTGGTACAGATAGTTGTGTAAGCCTTCTGTAGTTCTCACACATTGAGATCTTCTTCTTTCCAGTTTGTCAGTGGCACTTGAGCTTCCTCTCAAATCTTCCTGAGTAGAACGTGTAGTATGTTTGCAGTTGCCTCTAAGTCTAACTTTAGTGATTCGACTGGTATACTGTCAGGTGCTGCTGCTTTCTCGCTCTTGATCTGTCCGTTGGCAGTGCTGTTTTCTCGTCAGCTATCATACCAAATTGAAAATACCGGTTGTTGTTCGATCAACGAAGTATGGATAATAGTTTGGATAAATGGAGACAACAATGAATAAGCGAAAAGACAGTACAGTTAATACTCATGTCATTTTTGATTACAGATTATGTCGTGTTTCGATTAAGAATCCCCTAAATCTAATTTTTCAAAAACATTTACAAACATATGTTTACATATTTTTGCATACAATTGTATATTCTGTGTGTACTACTTCATTTTAGAAGATATGTAACACTTATTCTTACCATCTCAGACAGTGAATCACATTTGAATTAACGAAAGGTATTATAAATCTTTCACAAATTGTTTATATTTAGTCTTAGCCTATTTTGTACACAGCAATCTCAATAATTCATATTTTTCACTATTATTGAAAGGGGAAAGAATTCAGGTCAGAAATCAAACAAATTTGTAGAAACAAAACAAATTGTTTTTAAATTTCAAAAGAAATAATCCGTCAAAAAGTGGTAGGGAGTGATACTGAAGTCTTTATCCTGTTTTCATTCCTAGACTATTATTCAAACAATATTATGGGTTGTTTATCTGCTGAAAACTTTCAGTAATCTTATACTTGACTCATATTTTGCCAAATATACAATATGCTTCAAAGTGACAAATTCCGATGTTTTTTTAACTATTCAAACAATTATTTCTAACACAATTTACATCTAAATAAAAGTCAGTAGAAAAATATACTTATTTAAAGTTTCACTGAACAGGAAGTTGAATGAATTAAGAAAAGTAACTATTTAAATTACAAGCCTATATGAATATATCACGATAATGTTTAAAGTGAAAGCTAAGTTGTGTATAAATGTTAGGTTATTTGCTTGTTCCTAACCATTGATATCGATGGCGATGTCGTTACTGCATGCTACTTTAGGATGAGTCCTGCCTGATGAGATTGAATTAATAGTTTCATTAAAGGGAGTGGAAAATGCCAATTCGTCTGAGATTTCTGTGATTTTTAACAAAACAGTTCTGTCATAGTCATTTCAAGTCAATTACATAGGTTGGTCATAAATCTTAAGCTACAGGGAACTAGTTTAAGGATACGTTTTAGTAAATTAGGTAGCAATGGAATGTAGATGGGTTTTTCATCCTATTCACGGATGGATGTATATCCACCTCAGTATCGATTTCCAAACAGAAACTCGGACCAGATACCTTCTACTACATGCTCTAGTTATTATGAAGTTTTTAATATAAGTGATCTACTCTATATGGATTTTTATTAGCGATGATAATTTAAAGTACAAAATATAGACAAGGAACAAATATAAATCCTGACAATTATTATGAGAATTGTTTACATATGATGAAATTGTTAACAAAACCAATTAAATCTGTTTTTAGAAAAAGCATTTATTTTATTCTTAGCTACAAGTATTAACAATAATAATGATGATAATAACTCCTTTTCTACTGTAGTTCTAGTGTAATACAATAGGAATATCTGTATACTGTTATATTATTTAGTTATATAAATCTTTTTCCAATAGTCAACAATGTTTACTAATCAGATTATAATGAATAGAACATTATATGAATGTAAATAAATTAATATATTTGTAATATCCCAATGAGTAGCAAAACTAAATTTTCTGACGTTTCGTGACTCAGTGTAAGCTACTTCTTCAGAGAATAAATAAACTTAGATTAACTTTGATTTGGTTATTTATTCTTTGAAGAAGTGGCTTACAGTGAGTCACGAAACGTCAGAAAATTTAATTTTGCTACTCGTTGGGAAATAACAGATATTTTATTTTCATTTATAGCAATCTAATAAATGCTCAATTTATTCGAAATTATCAAATCGAACCTTGGTAATGATGCCTACAAATTATATGAATGTCTTAATTATTTCTAAATTAATGTTTTACGAGGTTATAGTCAAATAAATTTGACTTAAGAAAATAGATTTATTCAAAACTCTATAAAAGAATTGAACAGTCCATTTATAATATTTCAATGTAACTCAAGAATTTTGTAATATTCTATACGTAAACTTCCACTGAATTATTTCAAATGTAAGTTAATAATAATTAATGGTTTGCTATTACAGAAATAAAATTTTAAATAAAATGTCATAACAAATAAAGAGAATTGTGAGGAAGGTCTACGAGTGAACTCGAGGAAGCTTCAAGAAGCTCAGATAGAGCCAAAGATATTCCATCCAATCAACTTTTGGAAGAAAATCCCAGATTCCCTACACGTAGCTTCCCTATTTGACAAATGCTAATAACCCCCTATATGCGGTTTGAAGGACTATAATCATGATTTCGTTCTTACTAAAAACTATAAATACCTGACAATTTTGCACCATAATTGACAATATTTAGAATAGCATTCCTTTCGATCGTCTTCTTTCTTTTCATTGCGACTTGGAAGGGTTCTATCGTCCGAGTGCTCAAGTTATACGCTACATATTAGGAACCTAAGCTTTAGATATAACAAGAATATGATTATTATCTAATAATTGTTGATACAAACTGTACTCTTTATCAGTAAATATTTAAAAAAATTGTCTTCTGGTTCTGTTAAGAAAATCTATTCAAGGTAGGAATTTGACTAAAATAAACAAATCGTTAGATTAAACAGGTGTAGTCTAATATTATAGTATAATGCCTAAAATTCCAGATTATAAATCAGTTGCATGTAATGTACATATTAAAAAAACATTTTGTATAAAACCAAAAGTGAACCATTAAAATGTGAAATCATGGTTAAAATGTCTATATCATAAATGTTTTAAAATTTAAGGATACTTTCTACATAAGATTTCTAAAATAAACTATCACTATACATATGATGTTAGATTTTGATGTATATTACACATTATATACAATTACAAAATATGTTCAATACTTGAATGAACAAAGAAATTTCCAGTTTTTAGGGATTGTGAAGATTAAGTTTTTGATTGAGATCATGAACTGATTGGTGTTAGGCCATCGTTGAAAACCTGGAAGCACTGGACGGGCGTTTCGTCTTATTATGAGACTTCTCAGCATTGCGCATCTACGATCCCGCTCGTGGGATTAGAACTCAGGGCCTTCACTCTCGCACGCGGACGCTCAATCCACTTGACCACTAGTGGTGCTCATGTCTAACCTCAAGCAATCCACGAGGTTGAGTGACCATCTTCCATTGTACTGAAGTAGACACCTGTGTTCTACCCGACACGGATTAGCTCCACTGGTCAACGTTTCACAGCAGGACGAAACGGCCGTCCAGTGCTTCCAGGTTTTCAATAGTGATCTAGCATCAATCGGTTAATGATCTCATTCAAAAAGAAATTTTCTTTTTATTTTTTGCTTATCATGCTCATCGTTTCTTTTTCTTTATATTTAACTCTTGTTTTTAGCAATTCATTTATTCATCATAATGAAATTGATTTTAATCACTTTTGGATTATTTCCTGTTTCAACTTCACAGAATAATTTGAATTCACTACAATATTTTTCAACAAATTGTTCAATATTATTGTAAGTCCTAATTTTATATGAATATGGATTTAATTATTATGGAAAAATTTTTTTCGGATTTGTTAAAAAAGGGAAAACAGTTTTAGTTTTTTTTGTTTTTTAATCACCCCCGTCCCTCATTTTTTTGGATTGTGTTGTTTACTTGACAAATGTTTTTTTCCTTCGAATTTGGCTTTTTTTTCATAGAAAAATAATCAACTTTAAGTTGAATATCAAAGAAATAGTTGTACAAATGACAGTTAAATGCTTGAGGTTATTTCTTATTGAAGCATATTATTAAAATGTTATTCTTTTTTTGAATAAGAAGAGGTTTCATATGAAATGAATGTTCATTAAAAAAATGGAACTATTCAAATTGATAAACTAGTCATATTTCTAGACTTATTTTAAAGGTAATACAATTGATATTAGGTTTACTGTTTGATTCCATATTAAATATGGTAATAAACAGAATTTCAACTGGAAAAATGTTTTTTCTATGAAAAAGAATCAAATGAAAGTAATAGTAGCCAAGAGAAGTATACATGTAACTAGGACATCAACAGCCGTATATTTTATGTTGAAAACTATTAAAGAATGTACACCTACAAACATGACATATTAAAATTTCGCAGTTAAGGCAATAAATCCCAGTGATTGAAATCAATTCAGTGATGAACATTTTCCCATTTGTATCAGAAGGTGTTTTGTGGAAATTGTAGTAATTTCAATAGTTGAAATCATGAATCAGTTGAAGCTAGACCACCATGGAAAACCTGAAAGTACTGGACAGCCGTTTCGTCCTATTGTGAGACTCCCCAGCAGTGCACATTCACGACCTCATGCCGCGGGATTCAAACTTAGGACCTGTCAGTCTCTCGCCAGGCGCTTAACTAACTAGACCACTAAGCCGGACGGTATCCAACGGTGTTAATGTCTAACTTCAGCTAATCATTGAAATTCAGTGAATTTATATGAGTGAACACTAAAATCTAATTGTCGGCAATTAGTTGACATAATATAAACAAAAATAAACTAGATGAAGGATTTCAACTTTAAGAAATCAGACCAGATGATACGAACCAGTGCGTACTTATATAACTTCAAGTCACAACATTAGAGCTTCAGAAGTAATCATAAACTTGGCTGAATATTAAAGCTATACATTTCGGAAAAATGAATGAGTTCAATAATAAGTTTCAACTAGTAAAAAGCAAGTTAAATAGGAAATACATGGTAAATGTTTCATAAGTATAGATTTAGAGCTCAAATAAATCTTTAGAATAAACAGCTAGTGAATGGAATAAATTATAGAGTTGATTTCATTCATAAGATGATCGATAGATTTGTGGGGTTACTTCCTTCTAATTATACTTAAGTTAATTAATAGTAGTTGTGATAATAGTTAATGAATTTTCGCCATCTTCACTCCATCTGCATAACACAGGGGAACCTCACAAACCAACAACATGACTAACTGATGGGTAATAGAATATTTTTCAGTAAATTTGATGCCGTAAATTAATGAATTTTATTTTCATTCATCATGAGAAATCTTCACGCAATATCTCGTTAAGATTCACGGATTTATTTTCTCAGTGACATCAAGCATTATGTAAACATTTAAATGATAATCAGTAATTAATAGTTTTCTGGGTTAAATATTTCATTCAGTTTCCAACTTATACTACTTATTATTATTAAACTTGTCATTCAGTAATCAAATGATTCAATTCCAATGATTCAATAAAGCTGGATTATCTGAACAAAATATTCATTTAACAGTCTTCAGATTGTTCTAAGCACTCAAAACATTTATAGAAATAATCGAAATGAAGGAAGACTATACTTATCTATTTAAGTGTGCCTGCTAGCCCTAGTGGAGGAGCATAGAATACTCATCAGGAAACAATACTATAGGTCTACTGGAAATATATAATTCGTCAAAAAATTCAATACTTAAGTACTTTCATTCATGCATAATAAATCTCTACCTATTACTATTTATTTTATATATTATAAAAGAATAAACGAGTAAATAAGTGAATGTCAGTCTTAACTATTTAATCTAATTATGAATAAATGATAAATAATTAATTTATCCGATTATCTTTACTTTATATATGATTTAATGGTGTCTAAACATGCATAATTTAATAAATTATTCTCACTAATGAAAAACAATATTTCAGTTTGAATAATCTTTTATTTATCCTAAATATAGTCGTTCATATAGGTGAATATAAAATGTATTCGATCTTCTACTTCAAGTAGGTATTGATAATACTGGTTAGAACTTTAATGCAATATATGCAAAGTAATAGGTACATTTAGGTTGTCAATAATATTTAATAGTAATGTGGTGTGGATTAGGCATAGAATGTATTTCAGTAGAAGATGGATAAGGAAAAAACGGAAACGGAACGCAATTGGTATGAAAATGCATGAACAATGAAATCTGAGGCAATGGAGTGATATTTGCAAAAAGGAACAGTCAATTTTGAGATGATGGATTGATATTTTGCAAATTAACTATTTACTATATGGTTCTCAGATTTTTATTGAGATGCTCTGTAATATCGTGTCAAGTACATTCGATTGTACCCACTAGTGTTCTTTTGTACAACAGTAATATTCATTTTTTACTGAGTTTTTCTGGTTTAGATTGCTTGATAGAGAATTTACATATTCAGCTTCATTTTGTGAACCGAAATCCCATGATAATATTCCCAGTATTTTCAGCAGTTTACATTAATAAAGAATGGGTATTGATATGTGATCACAGCACTCACAGAAAATATTATAAGCAAATCTTACAGTGAATGAAAGCATCTAATCTTTAAAAATATTTGAAGCGGATTATGATTCAGTTTATTCTTTCTGATAACTTTAAAAATGTACTACATACAAAATGTTTAATGTAACAATCAATCAACAACACTGTTAAATCTTTGAAAATCGGTTAGTTTAGGGCTATTTCCATAAAAATTAGTTTATGACAGCTCAAGCACTCTATTCCACAATATTTTTTGAACAAAGCAATGGATTGTTTGGCATAATGTTTACATAAGTAGTTAACATGATTTATCTGAGGACGTATGTTGCTAAACTTCATTAAATTAGAGCAGAATTCATGAATTCAGTATTAAAATATAGACCTAATTATATTTATTTTGAGTCTTTTTGATCACATTTTAATTGTTAATTTCATCAGTATTATGGTGGAAACGCTTCACAAATGAAATATATGCAAATACACATCCCAGCGATATGTTTTCTTCCTGGGGTACAAATTGTTTAGCAATTTAAAACGTTGAAATATAAAACAGTTTTATCTTAACACTTCAGATCCTCAATTATCATAACTATCATGAATAGTAATATCAACTTCATTACCCAGTTATTCAAGCATGGAACATATCTATAAACTGAATGTAACCAACATAGCATCACCATGGGGTGAAGCAGTTGAATTGAAGACAAAGGTTTATTCTGTAGTTATCTTAAAAAATAAGGATTGTAATCATAGACAGAAGCTCCTAGAAAAGAATAGGAAGACATATTAATCAATATATCAGTCAAGTATATGTTTTCTGCGATATCACCATATTCAAGCTGAACAACTTTATTCAGTTTATCTATTATTATTTTAAATTGTTATAAACTGTGGCCTGTGTGCCCTGTTAATGTATAACGTAATGATGCCGTCAATTACAGAGCAGTGAATTATCGATCGGACCATATATATATACAACAGTAATTATTTTCCCCATTTTGTATTGAATCATAATCAGAGTAGGGTTTTGTGGATATTACAATTATTTAATAGTTGAATTTATGAGTCAATTTAAGCTAGACCACCATAGAAAACCTGGAAGCACTGGAAGGCTGCACATCCATGATCCCAGCTCGTGAGATTTGAACGGATAACATATCAGTCTTACACACGAGCGCTTAACCTCTAGACCATTGAGCTGGCATCTAACGGTGCCAATGTCTAACTTCAACGACATCGCGTGACCGTCCTCTATTGTCACCAGTGAGTAACTATCTCACAACAGTTCTCACGACTTCTCACTAGAACTCCAGGAAATACCTCTTGGAGACCATTACTAGTGAGCATGTGAATATAATCAGAGAAGGGTTTTGTGCTTCCGGGTTTTGCATTATGATCTAGCTTCAATTGACTCGTGAAACTGACTAGTCCACTTTCTTGGTTGAATCCTTTGCTTGACAAAAAATACCAATATATTTGTACTAAACATTTATAGTAATTGAAATCTTAACTTTATAGGTATCTTTGTAGTGAACAGAACACGGGTGGGGATAATCGAACGTATTTAACACAAAATTACTGGACTTGTTAATAAAATCTAACAATCATAAAGTAAATGCTTAATTTGCAAAATGTCCACCAATTGTCTCAAAATGACTCAGATTTCATTGTTCTTGCATTTTCATACAAATTGCATCTTGTTTCCATTCTTTACTGTTCGATCCTCTTGTTTCTCTGCTGTCAGACCTTCTGTTCACGACCAACATTATATACTACTTATGTCAATATAAGTAGCACACACCACATCTTGACTGAATATTTTCAATTACTAGTTCCAATAGCTAAATGACCAGTTGACTAATGAATACAGCAGAACTTTGCCAATGATATATATCAACAAAACTGTTCTCCTATAAATCATTATGAATAGCTGTCAAAGGAATTTTTTAATATAAATGATTTCACCTATTGAAATATAAAAATTTATTGGATATTGTAAAACTAATAGACTGAGTGAAACGTGATTAAAAAAATCTTTAATGAAATACGTGTTTTTTTTCTTTTTAATATGCATGGGTTGTCTGAAAAATATGGTCTCGTTTGTTAATTCTTTATCCTTGTTTTGTTGGATTGACCTTAATGAGAGTGATGTTTATTTGAAAAAAAAAATCAGTGAAGTTGTATCTGACGTACAGTAGCGAAGCTGTCAATTATATTTGAACTAAAATTGCATTCGTCTAATATT